GGGGGGGGGTTGTTCTATTTCTTTTAAAAATGCCACTGGGATTTTGATGGAGATTGTATTTAATCAGTATATTGCTTCTGATGGGGATTGTATTTAATTGGTAATATGGCCATTTTAACTATGTTGATTCTTCCAACCCATGAACACAGAATATCTGTCCATTTCTTTGAGGCTTCTTTAAATTCATTTAATAATGTTTTGTAGTTTTCAGTGTATAGGTCCTTCACATCCTTTGTTAAGTTTATTCTTACGTATTTTATTATTTTTGTTGCAATTGCAAAAGGAACTGTTTTTTTCATTTCTTTTTCTGAGATTTCATTGTTAGTATATAGGAATGTAACAGATTTCTGTACATCAGTTTTGTATCCTGCAACTTTACTATATTTGTTTATTGTTTCTTTGTCACCATATACAAAAATTAACTCAGAATGGACCAGAGACATAAATATAAGATCTGAAACAATAAATTACATAGAAGAAAACGTATGTACTAAACTTACAAACTTGGTCTTTGAGAGGATTTTATGAATTTAACCACAAAGACAAGGGAAGTAAAGCAAAAATAAATGAATGGGACTATGTAACACTAAAAAGCTTCTGCACAGCAAAAGAAACTGCCAACAAAACAAAAAGGCAACCAACCAAGTGGAAAAAGGTATTTGCAAACAACACTTCCGATAGCATTTAATATTCAAAATATATAACAAACTCATACAACTCAACGACAAAAAACAATCCAATTAAGAAATGGGCCCAGCCAGTGTGTCTCAGTGGTTGAGTGTGAACCCACGAACCAGGAGATCATGGTTCAATTCCTGATCAGGGCACATGCCTGGGTTGTGGGCTCAATCCCAAGTAGGAGGCATGCAGGAGGCAGCCAATCAATGACTCTCTGCTTAATGACTCAACTGATGTTTCTATCTTTCTTCCCCTCTCCCTTCCTCCCTCTGAAATCAATTTAAAAAAGAAAAAAGAAAAAAAGAAATGGGCAGAGGACCTGATCAGACACTTCTCCCAAGAAGACATACAAATGGCCAACAAATATATGAAAAGATGCTCAACTATACCAACTATAAGGGAAATGCAAATCCAAAGCAAAATGAGATACCACCTCACACCTGTTAGAATAGCTGTTATCAATGAAACAAGTAATAACACGTGTTAGAGAAGGTGTGGAGATAAAGGAACCCTCATTCACTGCTGGTGGGGATGTAAACTAGTACAGCCGCTATGCAAAACAGTATGGAGGTTCCTCAAAAAATTAAGAATAGAGTTACCATATGACCCAGCAACCCCTCTTCTGGGTATCTACCTGAAAAATATGAAAAGATTTATTCACAAAAATGCATGGTCCCCTATGCTCATTGCAGTATTATTCATAGTGGCCAAGACATGGAAACAACCAAAGTGTCCTTCAATAAATGACTGGATAAAGAAGATGTGGTACATACATACAATGGAATACTACTCAGCCAGAAGAAAAGATGAAATACTGCCATTTGGGGCAACATGGATGGACCTTGAGAATATCATGCTAAGCAAAATAAGTCGGACAGAAAAAGGTAAGAACCATATGATTTCACCCATATGTGGAACATAAAACTGAAAGCAACAAATGAACAAACAAGAAAAACCAACAAACAAAAACTTACAGGCACAGACAACAGTATGGTGGTTATCAGAGGGAAGGGGAATGGGGGGTAGTAAAAGGTAAATGGGGTCAAATACATGGTGACAGGAGATTTGACTTTGGGTGGTAAACACACAACGCAATACACAGATGATATATTACAGAATTGTACACTTGAAGCCTATATAATTTTATTAACTGTTACCTTCATAAATTTTAAATTTTTAAATATATAAGTCCTGGGGATATAATGTACAGCATGGTGACTACAGTTAACAATACTGTATTGTATATTTGAAAGCTGCTAAGAGAGTAAATCTTAAGTTTTCATCACAAGTAAAAAAGTTGTAACTATGTATGGTGATGGATGCTATCTAAAACTTACTAAAAAAAAAAGAAAGAAAATTACCACAAGACAGAAATACAAGTCTCCATTACTTTGTCTTAAAAATAAAGGAGTAAGAGAGTTTTCTAGCTTTAAAAAAAGCAACTGCAAGATAAAAATTTAACTCTAAAAGGTAAATTTTGCTCGGCTGGCATGGCTCAGAGGTTGAGCGTCGACTATGATCCAGGAGATTGTGGTTCAATTCCTGGTCAGGGCATATGCCCGGGTTGCAGGCTCGATCCCTAGTTGGGGGCGTGCAGGAGGCAGTCAATCAATGACTCTCTCATCATTGATGTTTCTATCTCTCTCTCTCCCTCTCCCTTCCTCTCTCTAAAACCAATAAAGATATATTTTTTTAAAAAGTAAATTTCTTTACTTAGGGTAACTATACACTGACTCTAATATCCCAAGCATAGAATTATCTATAAGGCCTGTAGCATACCTGGGTAAAAAAATATAATTTCATAGCATACCTGAAAGTCTCAGTTGAACAGTTATTATTTGTTTGATTCTCACAGCCAAGCATTGTGGATAAAATCTTTTCTGGTATCTTATACATGCCATCTGTGTGCTCTGTATATCTGCCTACTTTCATTCTGCGTGATCTTCTTAACACAGATGGAGGGTCCTGGTCAGAGTTGTTTTCCACTGTATTTGAATTTCTCTTATTATTTAGTGGATCACAAGAGATTACATTTTGATAAGCCAATGTCTGCAATCCAAATGAAGTTGGATCTTCTAGAGTCTGTAATAAAATACTGTATAAATATATACACAAATAATTACAACAATACAAAAAAATATTAAAACTAAGAGAAATTAAGTTTTATCTTGTCCTTTGATTATAGGAAAATGCCCTTTACGAGATGAAATGCCCTTTACGAGCTGTTTACAGACATATGTGAACATAATTGAAAATTCTATAATTAATATAATAAAAGACAGCGCATATTTAAAAGCCTAAGTCAAGCAGAATATAAGTAAAAATAAAATTTATTTTTATCAATATTCATACTTAAAATTCAATGGCAAACGTGAGGTCACTCTGGTTGCTTAAATTTCACAGGAAATGGGTAGCAGAGAATGATGAAAGACACATACAAAAGGTAAAGATGTCACTAGGCCAGATCTGTGTTCTATTCAGCCTAGTGTTTTGTTGACAGGAGCAGTAATATTCTGTGAAACAAGATAGTATGTAACCTCCATTACTCTGATTTTAAAAGGTTAACAGTATATTATGAAGAGTTCTAACTGCCTCCTTAATAATTCATTATAAATTTAACTTTTATGATGATATATATTTTTTATAAATATCATGTAAAGCTTTCCTGAGTTATTTATATATCCAGGTTGCAAAGTTTCTCAAGGTAACAAGATCTGTATTTTTATTACAGCTGTGTAAAAGAATATTTATTTTGATTTGTTCTAGATCAATCTTCTAATTTATTTTTTGAATGATAAGTTTTAATCATGGTTTCTTTTTAACATTAAGTTAATAATTTTAATTGATAATAGTTTATATGTATTGCTTATAATTATTAAATATAATATTCAATAAATAATCAATATCAACAATGATTATTTACTGTCACTGGGGCAAAACTCATTGCACAAAGAGTATCTATTCAAAAGGAAATCAGCAAACTCAAGCAGTAATTCAAAGAATTTCTTCTTTTTACTTTACTTTTAAAAGTTTTTTCCTGAAGACTTGCTAAGTTCATGTCTACTCTATCAATACTAATCGTAGTTTCCTACACTTTATTCACACTGCCTCATTTCAGATTACAATACTCGGATTGTTTAATTTTCATATTCTATTCCTGTGATTAGTTTCTCTTTTTCTAAATACTTTTAGTCCTATTATATCTGTTTTGAGATATATTTTTTACCAGAATTGCATGTATTATTATTCTGGGTGTATATGTTGCTACATGATCATAGTTTCATGTTATTTATATCTTCCCAGTGATGTTCACAGGAGCATTTGGGTAATAACAAAATAAAAGAAAAAACAATCCAAATAACAATAACTAGTGATACACACACACACCCTGTAGAGTGGAATAATATGCAGCAAGTAAAAATATTTAAGTTTTGCTACATTTGCTGACACAGAAAGATAACCAAGATTATTATTAAATTTAAAAAACAAGTTATATGTTTACATTATATTTATTATAGTCCCATTTACATAAAATTACATAGAATATGCATAGAAATAATTAGAGAAAGAGATACACCAAACTGTAAAGTGATCAGCTCTGGAAAGTGAAATTGTGGGAGACTATATTGTTATGTATTGCTGTAATGTTTAGATTTTTTATAATGAGGATATATTACCATTTTTATCAGGAAAACAATAAAGATTTTTTAAATTGTCAACATGAGAAAGGGACATGCAAGATTTCCAGGCATGACACTGCAGGCACTGTGCCACCTGGCAGTACCCTCTGACACAGAATGCGAAGTTCTGAAGCCAGGCATAGTTTTCCCTCTGAGCAGCCCATTGCATATATTTTATGTGCAACTAGAAATTAATGGAGGGTAGGTATCTCATCTCTGCTCTACACCCACGCAGACACAGTGACTTTTTGAGCTAATAGGGAAATGCTCATAAAGAATTCTTTCTTTCCTGTATATAAGCAATCTAAGGGCATGTCTTTGCAGGTCTTCTGGGGAGAAGTTTACCTATTTTAACTTTTACCCTCTTGAGAACTCTACCCCAGGAACCCCTAAAAAGATCACTGTATGCTTCAAAGTTAGAAAGTCTTTTCTGAGTTTTGATATGTGTGTAGAAGGTTTGAATTTAAAATAAACTATATGGGCAATGAATACTTGTTAGAGGTCCCTATAAAAGGCAAAATCGCAGACTCACACTTGCACTTACTTGCTGCATTGAAAGATGCTTGTCTTGCAGTTCAGCTAACTTGGAGTCTTGTTCCAATGGTGGAGTAGCACAAAGAGACTCAAAATTCACCTCTGCTATTTGTGTGCAACCTTCATCAGTCTGAGACAGGCTCGGCTCTATTCCTAAACATTCATTTTCAGCACTGAGACTGCTGCCTCCCTCTTTTCTGTAACAGATGGGTCCCACCTTGGCTTCTGACAACATGTTTAGGGCTGCTAACAACTCAGCTGGCAATGCACCATCCTTTGTGTTATCTAGTAAATCTCTATGACATGTCAAAGGCATTGATATGAAATTCAAAGAGTTGCTCAATGGGCTCATCAACTCTCTAGGTTCAAAATGATTCATTGTTTCAAACAATGTTTCCTCCTGGGTGTTTTCTGGTGATGTTAGTAACTTTTCTAAGGCAGACACAAAAGTTTCAACAGAGCTTTCATCATCTTTGGTTTCTTCGGAAGTCATGGGCAATGCAACTTCCTTTCCAGACTCAGAAAATGCTGGTGCTGCTGAGATTGTCTGTGGCTCTATTAACAATTTCTCCTTTACAGCAACCATATCAGATACTTCAATAGCAGTACCTGAGAGAAGGCTAATTTCAGGAGAGTCTCTGCCTGCATTTAGTTCCTGTGTATTCAAAAAAAGAAATTCCATCAGTACAGCATATAAAAATAAAGTGTTTAAAATGAAAACTTCATAGTTTTCCAGTTTATCGTGTCGGTAAGCTATCACTAAAAAGTTTTATCAATTTTCCTCCCCTTCTATAAATAAAAATACACTGAACAAATGGCTAAACATACAAGGGTAAAATTGGCTAGACCATAATTACAGATGGCAAATTATCTGTTCAGCAAATTATCTGTGCTAAAAGCAGCAGCAGAGATGATGTGGACAGTTAACAGATCTCAAAACTTCACTGCAGTTAATGGTTGTCAAAAACTTTGTCAAAAACCTATTGAATTGCATAAAAACTATTAACCAGGAATAAAATCAGTGTAGTTTCACCTTCTTTTTATTTCCCACCTCTGTATGAATATGTAAATGTGAAGTAAAAATGCCAAAAGACATAAAGTCAGAGGAGAAAATAGGAGAAATGAGGACACAGTTCTATGTAAATATTACAAGCCCTGTCTAGACATAGTTCTGGGTTGCGATTTTTTTTTTTTTAACCCTCCCTCGAGGATATATTTTCCATTGCTTTTCAGAGAGAGTCGAAGGGGGGGAAGAGAGGGGGAGGGGGGGAAGAGAGAAACATCGATGTGAGAGAGACACATCAATTGGTTGCCCCCCCGCACACGCTCCGACCAGAGCTGGGGATCAAGCCTGCAGCCAAGGTATATGCCCTTGACCGGATTCGAACCTGAGACCCTTCAGTCTTTGGGTCAATGCTCTAACCACTGAACCACACAGGCTAGGGCTGGGTTATGATTTTTTTAAACAAAAAACCACAAAACTTGTATTTGTAAATGACCAATATTTTTCAAAGACATCATCTTAACAGGTTATACCTGTTCTCACAATATTTCTAATGCTCAAAATATTATTAGATGTCCTCATTTGAAAGTACTTTCAACATTGTTATAATCCATTCAAGAAAACCAGTCTCAATATTTTAAAGGCACTGAACTTCTTTTCAATATTAAAAACGATTTGTTTGACCTTAAATAACAAAATGGGTTGCAATAACTTTTGACTGTTCTTGAAAATCAAATCCACCTTCCATTGACACACCACTCTGATAGAATGCACTGTAAATTGTAAGCCCTCTAATATTCTCATTTAATTTGACTAAGAAAACTGAAAACTATCTTATTCTCCCTCTGTTCCTTTTCTAGCTGCCACCATTTATCTTCTTCCACAGATAACACACAAAGCTTAAGAAGATATATGTACTTAGCAGTACTGCAAACTATAATTTTCTCTGAAAGACAAAAGGAATTTAGAAAGAATCCAAGAACCAGATCCTATCCATTCTTTAAGTCACAGTTCAAGGTTTCCTTTCTATTTGAAGTCCTTATAGCTACTAATTTTAAGGCCATAAATGTAATAAAGTATATACAGGGTGTCCCCAAAAAATGTATACACACTTTGAATAATTATAAAGGCCATGTTTGTTAAGTTTTAAAAAAAAGAAACATCAATTGAGCTATCAGCTGTTAAAGTGTGTATACCTTTATTCTGGGACATCCTGTATATTGGACAGTGCCCTAAAAGAATTTAATTTCTATCTGAAGATTAAAAGCATAAATATATGAGACATTACATAAAGTATAAATAATGTCAAAGACACTGTATGAACTCAAATGAATGGCATAAACCATAGAGCCTAATGTGTTACAAGATAGCTTTGGGTGGCGGGAAGGGTCTGTAGCAAGCTTTCACAATTGCTTTAAAAATGCTTGGTTAAACAAAGTTAAACAGGTTTCTTTACCACAAGAATTTTCATAGTATGCACATTATAAACCTGAGGAGACTTTAGGATACAGTGTTCTCTAAACGTCTTTGTTCAACAAAATCCTTTTTCTCAAAAGATCTATTAATGTTATAGGATGCAAGTGATTGGGAAATACTGATATAGTCAGTGAATAATGAATGCTAAAGAGGAAGCAATTTGGTCAAGATTACCAGATTATGAGACAGAGTCACAGAGGAAAAGGGACTTGAGCCAAAAAACAAAGGTTTGTGAAGGACTGAAACAAGAAAGACGTACTTATTAAGCACCAAATGGGGCCAGGCAACATGAACTATCATTGCTCTTAGCCCTCCAACAGCCCTGTGAAATGGGTATCACTAGTGGTTTTATGCATGTAAATGACACACGTGCCCTTGGAACGCACACCTATCTGGTTCCAAATTTTACGCTCTTTCCCTTGCTTTCTGGTTCCTGACCTGAACAAAGTCACTGAGGCAGGAATGTGTAAGGCACAGCTGAGATAAAGTGAGGTTACAGGTATAGCAGTGTTGACCTGGGGAGATCCTAGATTGTGTGAGTCCACTGTGGGCATAACCAGTTCTACAGTCCTCTGATTCCTCACAGCACCAAGAAGAGAGCAAAGCCAAAACAAGCTCTCAATACATGGTCACTGATTAGCAACTACAAGATGAGAAAGCAGTTATCGTCAAGGAAATATTAAAGGAACTAGCGTAGCAGACAAACCAACAGAAGGCATTTCTGTTACATTACCTCAGCAATTAGTCTGATAAGAAGATGTATGTTTCTCCTCTATATAAAGAATAAAAGACTTATAATGCTGGATAAGAAATAGATGAAGAAAATGCTGTTTCATTAGAGATAAGCAAGAATAAATCCTAGAAGGGGTTGTTAGATAAGAATAGATTTCCACCTATTGAATGGTTTAGTCATAGTCCTGCCTAGAGGACAAGTCTAAATGGGCCTGGGACTTTAATCAGCATAATTTAAAAAAAATCTAAACCTATGATCTGCATAGCTAATCTCAGTTATATAGACCAACCTTTTCTGGGTGTGGCAAAACTTCAGGATTTTCAGCCTTAGGCCCTAGAAGATAACAAAATATGTTTACATTCCAGTTTTATTAAAGCACTAAAAACATACATACCCTCTCACTTGGCATTTCTTTTTTTTTTTTTAAATATATCTTTATTGATTTCAGAGAGAGGAAAGGTGGGGGAGAGGGAGATAGAAACATCAATGATGAGAGAGTCATTGATTGAGCCCTGCAGCCCGGGCATGTGTCCTGACAGGGAATCAAACCCCGATCACCTGGATCCTAGGTCGAAGCTCAACCGCTGAGTCACACCGGCCGGGCTCACTTGGCATTTCTTAATCATATAACTTGAAATGACTCCCTCAGACATTTATGTAACATTTCAAATGTTTTATAAATATTATATTTTAATTTTGATATAAAAGTATCATTATGTTGGCAATGAAGTTTATAAAAATAAATTTTGCTATTTCTTAAAAAATATTTTACATGAAGCCAAGTAAAATTATAATAATTTGGAATTAGTTTAGCTGAAAGCCAACCTTTCTATTTTGGCTGAGCTTATTATTCTACGTGTAACTACGTAAGAAAAATCATATCTACTTTTTCAGTGTTATTATCTCCTCCAGTATAGGTAACAGAATTTAAATAAATTCATGCTGTTACATTATGCATGAAAAGGAATGCCCCATGTAGGAGCCAAAAAGAGTCAGGAGATTGTCCTAAACGTGACTTTGCCTTCACCGTTGACTCCTCACCGGCCTGCCTCCTCTGAGGTGAGCTGGCTGACAGCAATTCACAGGAAGTTAAGGAGGATTGAGAAAAAAGGTACTTCTCCTACTCCATTCCTCTTGTCTCCTCCCTTCACCATCGAGGCCCTGGCACTCTGACATACTTAGGCAGGAATTCAGGGCATCACTGGCATTATGTTTGAGTCATTACGTTGGTTTCTTTTGATTAGGAAATATCTAGACCTACAGTTCAAGCAAGTAATTATCTGCTGAGCCTCAGAATGCATCCTCACAAGCAAGACAGGTTTTTCAGGGGGAAAAATAAGCATACTTAGTTTGTATGCTTACTGAGCTTTATATCCTGCAAAACCCTATTATTATTATTATTATTATTATTATTATTATTATTGCTTCACCCTTACCATTTGATGATGAAAAGCTATGAAAATCAGCTAGGAAGACTAATATCACGGTATTCCAGTCCCTTACAAAATGATGAGAAAAACGTAAGAATAAATCATTTCTTACTCTTGCGTTAGAGTCCTTTGTGCCAAGCAATAATGATATATTACACTGTCTATATCTTGTTTAAAATTTTGTATCTCTGGTTGCCTAAAAGTTAATACCAATACAGGAACATTTTAAAACAACAGATACATCTTCAATCATCTTTGCAAGATTTTTGTTTTTAGTAAGCCCAGATCCTTGAGGGGTTAGAGTTCAAAAAAGAAAGAGCCATCCTCTTCTGCCTCCGAATTGTCAAGAAAGAGCCTCAGTCATCTTCTCCTGCACTGTTTCTAACAACCTCAACATAAAAGTGATCCTTCTTTTAGGCCAATAGTTACTATTTTTAAAACTTGATAAGTTAATATAATAAAGTATGTTATAGTAATTTGATTTCTATATTTAAAAATACATTTAGAAATAATTCTCATTTTCTGGCAACAAAATTTACTTAAAACAGCTTTTACAAATAATAAAAAGTATTTTTCTTGAATTGTTTCTCCTTTAATAAATTATTAAAAGATTTTGTACATTTTCTACGTATCACTTGAAAAAGATAAAATGTAACGTATAGGAAATAATTCTAAAGTGCCAAATGAAAAGAAAATGCTCAGAGGAGCTGAATTTTAACTTATAAACAAGCTATTTTAAGGCCAACGTTATCCTATTTACTAAAGATCATTTAACTATTTTGGTCAGTTATAATTTCATTAAAATTACTTTCAACTGGGAGGGAGAAGACAGAATTGTATTAGAACAGAGTCAGTTATACTAGCTAACAATTTAACAGTTTCCTTATATGTAAATTAACCCACAGTCTAGGATAACAAAATGAGCTTCCTATTCTGAACACTCTGAAAGGGGGTCAAGGCAAGAGGGAGCTGCGACGAAGTGCCAGAGGGAAGGGGATGACTATTTCTGGGTTTCAAGTCACAGAAGCTTCCTGACAGCAAGAAACACCACAAAGTTATAATTCTGGTGCCCGTGGCACTTTTAAAGAATCAGCCAGTAAAATACTTGTGACTCGGAAGTTCAATGAGTGCCTTATGGCACTATTGGTGGTGGCAAGAGTGCACAAATACCCATAGCATCACACTGCACTAATGACTCTCAGAAGGCCACATGGGTAGGAGGTTGAAATGTGGGAAATGCAGGATATAGTGGACCCCTGTTTTTCTGGGAATGAATATGAAAAAAATGAGAACAGATCTTTTGTCTAACTATTGCTAACACTTGTTATCATGATCAAAACCCAAAGGAAAGAAAGGAACGCCCAAGGCATGCTATCACCCATGACACCTCTCTCTCAAACTGTTCAAGACATACTTACAGAAAAAAGAAATACAACCTCTAAGATGTAACCTCTATAGCTTCATGATTTTTTCAGTTTACCTATAAACTATATCTTGTAAAAGAGGCTAAATAGGTTTTCACCATATTTGGAGAGTATGTCTGGCATAATCTGAATTATATTAGACTATCTGCTATTGATTAGACATCTTAAAAACCATAAAGGCTTTTATACTTGGAGAAAAACATCCATTATTATTCGTATTTATATTTGTTTAATGGTCAATTTATTAAACTTCTATATCTAACACCTGAAAACTAGTTTCTTTAACATTTAAACATTAATTACAAATTTAAATTCCCTTAAATAATTTAAACTACAAATTTAATATGTTTGCCATTTCAAACATATTAACTATTAGACAAAACACACATGAATACAATGGCTATAAACTTATTACTGCTCTTAACCTAATTCTAAAATAACAATTCATTGGTGTAATTCGTTAAAGTTACTTCTACACCTGTTCCTATGCCTTCTTATAATTAAAGTCATATTTATTTTGGTATCTCCCCAGGGTTACAGAAATTGTATCAGGTTCAAAAGAAAACAAATAACTTCTTGCACCATCCAAGGTGGCAGAATCTGGCTATTGACTAATTGATTTTTTCTTGGGGCATGGAACCACTTCCTCCAACACAATTCAAACCTGAACAGCCAATTATCTGGCTTCACTTACAATAAGTAAATACCTTAAAGTTCACAAAGGTGCTTTTTTAAATAATCTAATGTTTTTCCCAAGAATGCTATCATTAAGTTTTACATGGCCAGTGTTACGAAAGCTTTTGTATTATTATTATATACTGATCTATTGTTAGCATTGCTGCAAACTTATGCCTGCTCTTTTAATATCTTATCATGATTAGCAGGGCCATCTAATGCTTTACTTTCCTAAGAGATGAGGAATCTAATCTGTGCAGAAAAGTTTCCTTAATTGGATATCAAGTTAATCTGCCATCGTGGGACATTATTAGACCCCACTTCTTACATGTTTTTATGTGTGACTGATGATGCTGTGTGTGGTCTTTCCTTTCCTTGGTACAATTCTTATCCCAGGACTATTTGAATTACAATTCTGTTTTCTTTCTTCTCTACTTACACAGTGATAAACAAAAATATCCTATGCTTTACAAACAGATATATATTTAATAGAGAACATAAAATGTACACGTATTAACAGGTATCTATTTCTTAAAGTCATTAAAAAGTTTTAAACACTCTGCTTTTCTTTTTGCATTGAGACTACCTTTGGTACACTATTAACACTTAAAAAATATTTTTTATTGATTTTTAGAGAGGGAGGAAGGGAGAGGGGGAGAGAGAGAGAAACATTGATGTGATCAGCGGCCCTCCTACATGCGCCCTACTGTGGATCGAGCCTGCAACCCAGGCATGTGCCCTGACTGGAAATTGAACTGGCAACCTTTCAGTGCATGGGACAATACCTAATCAACTGAGCCATACTGACCAGGGCCACTACTAACAATTTTGAGTGTCATTATAAACTCCTGGTTTTTTCACAAACTTATTTCCATGAACTAAAATTACTGGTTTCTTTTCCCCCACTTAATTTGTCACAGCTTGGCCAGAGAGAGCACCAACAACCTAGTTCTTTGTCTTTCTAGCACTTTTAGACATCCATAAAAGCATCTTTGCTTTCCAGTAACAGTAGAATATTTCAGGCCCATCTTCATGCTCCAAGACAGATTAGCTATTCCTTAAAGATTCCCGGTTTGTTTGTTTATTTATTTATTTATTAAATGTCTTTATTGATTTCAGAGGGAGGGAGGGAAAAGGAGAGAGACAGCAACATCAATGATGAGAAAGTCACTGATCGGCCACCTCCTGCATGCCCCCCAATGGAGGTGGAACCCGTAACCCAGGCATGTGCCCTGAATGGGAATCAAACTGCGATCTCCTGGATCATAGACTGATGCTCAGCCACTGAGACACAGCAGCCAAGCATTTGTGGTCAATTTAGCATTCCATTTACAGGTTCACAGCACCCATATAGCTAGTACACAGTAGGCTTAATAAAATATTTGTTAACATATGAATAAATAATATTACAGATCAAAATCTAGGCACTAAGAGTGCATGCAAGAATTGGTGATGGGCATAAGTAGTACTACTATTGCTGTATTAGCAACAAAGCAGAAGACAGAGCTTTTAAAATTTAACTTTTTCAATTTCAAGTTACCATGTTCTTATGCCCTTTTATTATAATGCCAGGTTTCATTGGCCACCAAGAATATTTACTACACTGTCACACAACATACATAACATTCATTCTGGAGGAGTTACTAGGAGATGCCTCAAAGATAAAGACAGTCATCCTCTAATACAGCTGAACCCAAGGTAAAGGCCTGTGTGACTGCCTGTCAAGAAAGATATGAAATACATAATATTGAGAATGATATGAACAGGGAAAACAAACATTGTTTTCAAATTTGAATCCCAAAATTACAAGTCAGAAGAGCATTTGGAGTAGCAGGTATTGATTGCACTTAAGATGCTCCTCATATGGGCAACATTATGCAGCATGATACAATGTCAACAGCAACACTGATTTCTTACATAAAAATGTATGGTAGCAATGCATAGTAGAATAGTCCAGTTGTAAATAAATGTATATCTAATAAGCCTTCTATTTTTAGACTAAGACTAATTTACTTTATATAACTAATACATACCTTGAATGCTTTCGTGGTTCAGTGAAAGTTCAGTTTGGGGAGATGACACAATGAACACTGGACAACTTCTTCTGGTTCTAAAACATGTACCAATTAATAAAGAAATAAAAATTTAAAATGGAAAGAAAAAACACTTTTTCATTCAAATATAATTTAAATTTTTTGTTCATTTAATCAAAATAGGATTAAGTTGTTTTTATTGCTACATTATTCCAATTGTTTTTACAATTACTACCAATTTGTTTTGTTTGTTGTTGTTTTCTTGTTTCCACTTTATTGAGAAATAACTGACATATATCAATGTTTGAGCTTAAGGCATATAGCATGTAGGTTTGATTTACATATATTGTGAAACGATTACCATAATAGATTGAGCTAACATCCATAATCTCATATAGATAAAATAAAAAGAAAAAAAAATTATCTTTGTGATGAGAATTCTTAGAATTGTTAACATTAATATTTCAAGTGGTTGCAAAAATGAAGGGGGGAGCTGAAAATGTAATGCATGAGCTTCAGGGGTATAAACATGTTAAACTACATTTAGTTCTGAAAGTAACTGTGGAGATGACTGTCTGTCAAATAGGTGGGGTCAGGAAAAAAAAACTGGTCCTGAATTATGTAGCTTGGCTGTCTAAATTCTCAAATACACTGAAAGCTTGTCATTATAGTTTAAGATGTAAGTGAAAGTCATTATGACATTATTCATTATTGTTGTATTTCATAGTAGGCAAAGAAAAGACAGGAAATACTGAAGGGAAGAGGTTGAAAACGAAGTAAAAGTCATGCCTAATCTGCAACTGTGATCATCTGCCCTGGGATAATTAAAAGTTCATTGAAGAAAAGCAACCAGTTAAATTGTTTTTTCCCAGTCTAATTTACTACACAAATACAATCAAGATCTCTTCCTTTAAAAAAAAAAAAAAAAAAAAAGCCTTGGTCCTGACTGGTGTGGCTTAATTGGTTGAGTGTCATCCCACGCACCAAAAGGTGGCCAATTTGATTCCTGGTCAGGGCACACGCCCAGGTTGCAGGTTTAGTCCCGAACCATATGGGGAAGCAACCAATTTATGTTTCTTTCTCTGTCCTTCTCCTTTCCTCTCTTTCTAAAATCAGTAAAAACATTTTTTTTTTTAAAAAAAGAAAAGCCTCTATTTTCAGCTGTTTTAAGAGCAGTTGTTATGCACCAGACACATCTACCTTAACCCTAAGCAAGAATAATAAATTAAGCCTGGCCGGTGTGGCTCAGAGGTTGAGCGTCGACCAATGTACCAAGAGGTCACTGGTTTGATTCCTGGTCAGGGTACAAGACCAGGCTGCGGGCTTGTCCCGCAGTATGGGGCATGCAGGAGGTGGCCGATCAGTGTTTCCATCTCTCTCTCCCTCTCCTTTGCTCTCTCTCTAAAAATCAATAATTTAAAAAAAGAATAATACATTGAACATTCTATCCTGCCTAAAAACAGAAGTAGTCAATATATGCTATCTTGAAAATGGAAATAAAACTGCTCATATAAAATAATTTCCATGAGGCAAATAGAACTGAATGCTGATATTTTCCCCCTAAAATGTGATTCTTTGAGAAGAACAAGCTGATTTACAACAAAATAGAATCATAGTTTGAGTCAATAACATAATTTTTCTCCTTAATTACAAAGGAGAACTTAACACCTAAGTCTAAAAATAGAGCAAACTTTCATCTAAATTATTAAAAAATAATTATTTATATTAGGCAAGACTGCAAACAATGTACATATCTGATAGTAGAGGAATGATGAAATAAATTATAGGACAGTGAAGTTATACAGTAAAACATTGAGACCATTAAAATTCATGTTTATAAAAAATATTAATGAGAAAATAATTATGATAAACTGTTACTTAAAATTTAAAAACAGGATACAAAACTATCTGCAGAATGATCCCAATTCTATAGAAAATATGAACAAACCCAAAAATATATAGAAAGCCTAAAATAAAATGTAACAAAATGTTAACCATGGTTCTTCTTGAGCAGTGAGATTATGGATGCTATGCTAGTCTTCCTTAGTCTTTTCTTTTTTCTATTTCTGTAGATGAACTTATATTGCTGATACATTCAGTAAAAGGGTTTTTTTTAAACAGTGATTCTCAAACTTTTTGATTTTGGACTCCTTTACACTCTTAAAAGTTACTGGGAAACCAAAGAATTTTTGTTTATGTGCCTTATATTTATTTATATTTACATATTAGAAATTAAAATGGAGAAAAATTTTAAATAATCATTAATTTTAAAGTAACAGTAATAACCTAGTAACACATTAATATATTTTATGAAAAATTATATTTTCAAAAATGAAAAAAAATTAGTGAGAAAAGTGGCAGTTTCATTTTTAAAAATCTTCCTTAATATATGGCTTAATAGAAGACAGCTGCCATCTCATATCTGCTACTGCTTTCAATCTTTTTTTATTGTTGTTAATCCTCACCCAAGGATATTTTTTCCATTGATTTTTAGAGAGAGTGAAAGGGGGAGAGAGAGAGAGAAACACTGATGTGAGAGAGACACATTGATTGGCTGCCTCCTGCACAAGCCCAGACCAGGACCAGGAATCAAACCTGTGACCCATCAGTGCTCGGGCCAATGCTCTAACCACTGAGCAACACTGACCAGGGCTGCTTTCAAAATTTTGCCATATATTCTGTTTGACATATGTAACAATAATATGGTCTCACACAGAAATGCAGTTGGAAAAGAAAGAAGTATTTTAGTAGCCTTTTTGGATAATTGTAGATATTCTTTTTGATATCACAACAAAATTCTAAAAGCAATAACTTCCTTAAAGGTTTCTGAAAATGTAGAAACTGAAACAAAATCAATGAGCTTTTTGTATTGTGTTACATTATAACTCATTGGTATATTTGCACTTTGAACAGATCTTTTATCTGTGCCTGATTTTGTGACATCATGCATTGGTCTTTTAGAAAATACTGAGTTATATAAACCTTTTTTCTAATATCACCCAAGGATATGTTTTTATTGATTTTTAGAGAGAGAGGAAAGGAGAGTGAGAGAGAAACATTGATGTGAGAGAGAAACATCGATCGGTTACATCCTGTAACACACTGCAATCAGGGATTGAACCCTCAACCTACATATGTGCTCTGACTGGGAATCAAACCCATAACCTTTTTGGTGTATGGGATGACGCTCCAGCCAACTGCGCCACCTGCCCAGGGTGAGTTATGCAAATCTTACATACATTTTATTATAAAATATCAAAAAGATCACCTTTGTAAATACTATCACTGATCTCACCAGAAAACTTTAATATTAGAAAGCTATCAAGGTCAAGGTGGTAGACACAATTTTTACTAAACTAATTTTCTCTTGAAAGCTTGAATTTTTTCATTGGCAACAAATACCATTAGCCATTTTCCTTGAAGTGACTGGCTTACTTCATTCATTTTCAAGAAAATGTCTGCCATATATCCAAGTGTGAATAGCTAGTTTGTCTGTTAGTTATATTTTCAAGTTAAAGAAAAAAAAGTGAGGCTAGTCTTCTTACAATGCTTACAACTCAAACAAGTGCTCTCCTTAAGACACTTCAATATGCATAGAAGTACTTTAAGTATACTTACCACTTCATCAGATTTAATAAAACTAATAATTTTTCTGCTTCAACAAATGCATTAAGTGAAACTGGCTCGGTCTTTTGTTTTGTTTTTTAAATGCTAGTACATGGCAGTGAAAAACATTATGACTACTAGTGCTATCTGGTGCCACTGCCCTGATTCCTACCTAGGGCTCCAGAATTTTACCCACTTGCTTCAGCACTCTAAGTGCAAATGTCAATACCATGAAATAGGCAATAATGTGCTGGTATTGTTATGGAAATAATTTCCACCTCACAGACCCTCTGGAAAGAGTCTCAAAGACTCCTAGGGTGTCCACAGACCATACTTTGAGAATCATCGTTTTAAAAGAACTGAAAGGATAAAGTCTCCTCAAGTACAATAGTTTTTGAAGTCTAATTTCAGTAAGCTCTACAAATTCTTCTTTCATGCTACGCTTTAAATTCCCTTTTAAAATAATATTAATAAACAAAATCAACTTAATCTGATTCAACCTCTCTTACAAAATAAAACTTATTGAGAGTATTTGTAAAATAATATATATTTATGCTGCTAAAGGGGCAATTATTTAAAAACATAATTCTAAAACATAATTTCTTAAGAAAATGAGGACTCATTTTAGATGTGCAAAATGACAAAAAAAATCTATAATATAATAAAGCCAAAAATTAGTATGCTTACTGTAACAGAGTTTGATCTTGTTCCATTTCCTCTTGAGGTTGCTAGGGAAAAAAAGCAGTAGTTTTTTCCAACTGATGAATGCTAACCCAATGCAACACACTAAAAATTTAACATTTAAGGTAATTCATGTTATTGTTTCTTAGCATCTTTTTTTGTGGTAAAAAATATATAACATAAAATTTAGCATTTTACCCATGTACGGTTCTGTGGTATTTTATACATCCACAATGCCGTGCAAGCCTCACCCCCACCCATCTCCAGAATTTGTTCGTCTTCCCCTACTAAAACTGCACGCCCAAAACCCTGACTGTCCATTCACCCCTCTCAGCCCTTAGCAGCCACCCTCCTCCTTTCTGTCCCTATGAATCTGACTACTCTAAGTTGCTCATATAAAAGAAATAAAACTATATTTGTCCTCTTATGACTGGTTTACTTCACTTAGTAGAATGCCTTCAAGATTTATCAGTGCTGTAGCATGTATCCATATTTACCTCTTTTTTAAGGCAGAAGCATATTCCACACATGCACTCACACACACAGGATGACAGAAAAGCCTTTCAGTGGCCCATACCTCAAATTCTATCACACAGGCTAGTACCTTCTTCACAAGTTTAAGATGACCTCTGACATATAGTGGAGAGGAAAATGTAATTATTATATTCTAATTTAATCTCTTTTAACATTCTGTTCCTCTACCATATCTCTACCAGAAAGAGAAAAAAACAAAGGAAAGAGGGAAAAGGAAGTATTTTAGTACCTCCTCCTAAAACAACTGTCTTTCAATAAATTTGCAGCAAAGAAACAGAATGACTAGCTAAAAAAAGCAGAAAAAAACTAAAAGAAAAAAAGAAGCAAAATAACAGACAAAATTGATCATTAGTAATTTGTCACTCTTTGAAACAGCATTTCCAATTTTTTATAAGTATGTATTTAATCAATATACCTACACACCTGTAAGACTGCATCCCCACTAAGAACAGGCATCGTCGTCTTTTTACTTATTTGCTCCTGTGGATCCTTTCTGAGCTTGAACCTAAATTGAATCTCAGGAGAACGTGTGCCTAGAATGAAATATAATCACAGTCATTCATAACAGTTTTATTGCTCTGCTTTGACAATGACCCAAGGATTTAAAGATAGTAAAAAATGTCATTAAAGATCATTTTGTAAATTATAATTTCCTAACTGCCACTTTTATGTATTATGGTTTTTAGCTTATTAATTGAGAAGAAACATATATACTACATTGAATAATAGTTGATATTTACTTTTTTCAGGATGAATGGTGCAAAGGCTATATATGGAAAATTATGTAGACTTAAATCCCACTAGAAAGAATACTTCCTTTTTTAAAAACTTCACTTTAGGTCTTTTAAAAAACCCATGATGCTAGTATAAATTCAAGAAAAGTACAAGTTTCTGTTACAAGATGGCAAATGGTGCCCATATTTTAACTTTCTTCCCTTCCCAGTTCCTAAAAAGAATCCAAAGAAATGATTAGTTTTTTTAAAACCTGAAACAGCAATGGTAAAAAAAAGGAAATATACCCTCTACAGATTAGAAGATGAAAACACAATGAGCTCGGCCAGCGTGGCTCTGCAGTTGAGCATTGACCTATGATCCAAGAAATCGCAGTTCAATTCCCAGTCAGAGCACATGCCTGGGTTGTGGGCTCAATTCCCAGTATGGGGAGTGCAGGAGGCAGCCAATCAATGACTGACTCATTATTGATGTCTCTCTCTCTCCCCTTCTCCCTTTCTCTCTCTGAAATCAATAAAGACATATTTTTTAAAAAAAATAAATGAAACAAAACAAAAAGTGGGAAACAGACATATATATTTAGGAATTTAATATGTAACAATATGGTATTTTAAACAGTGGCACCAAAAAGAATTATTCAATAAATAATATTGGGAAAATTGGTTAACCATTTGAAAAAATGAGCTTAAAAAACTATCTTCCCATATGCCAAAATATTCCAAAGAGATTATTTGTAAAAGCTATAAATATAATAAATGGAAATAAAGATAAAAGAAAATATCTTTATGGTCTTGAGATAGATGAACTATTTCTAAGTTTGAAAAAACTAATAAACCCTAAAAAAACCCAGCAGATTTTACTATATAAAAACTTAAAACTTCTACAATACAAAATATATCTTGAATAACATGAAGACATAACTAGGAAACTGGGTAAAACTACTTGCAACATATATATGACAAACTTTTGTTATCTTTAATATGTTAAATGCTCTTACAAGTCAATAATAAAATAATAATTAGGAGATATATGGTAATTCACACCAAGAAAAACCCTATGAATGGTCAATATTAAAATATGCCTAAATATTCTTTAAAATGCAAATTAAAATAATCAGATACTTTTTACTTATCAGTTTTGTAAAGACTGAATATGTCTTGTGTTGAATCTAGAGGTGAAAAGCCATCTTTTTTAGGAGACAATATATGTCAAGATCTGACACATGTGAGACCCTTTAAAATCAGAATATATTCTTTAAAAGCAAATCTAATTTTAGCTAGTTATTTATTCTAAAGAAATAATTTAAAAAGGAAATAATCAAAAAAGTAGGCAAAGACATTAGAATATTCATATTTGTTACAATACTAAGAAACATGGAAAATATAATCAATTTATTAAGTAAGGGTACACTCATACAAAATAATATGTAGCAATTTAAAAGGTTGAGGTAGATAAATATAACAAGAAATATACTACATAGTACAACACCAATTATGAAAAGAGATATTTATGTTGGCACATGAAAGTCTAAAAGGATATACAAATACTAAATGCTGGCAATTGTTGGGAGTGGAATTATAGGGAAGAACAGAGGATAGGACCTTTCATTCTCTACATAATTATGTACTATAAAAATATTTTATAATTTTAATAATTAGCAAAAATAATAAAGGTCTATCCATTTGGAAAAGGAAATAAAATTTAAAAACTTGGCTGGAATATTAAAACAGACCCCTAACTTTTTCCTACTGGCACTTTACACTTCAAAAAATACATCCTGGAGACCAATATTACACACTGTCTTTTCCAATTGCAAGTAAGAAAAACCACTCCCAGATGAAACTGTAACTTGCTGTTGGGGTATCAGGTGAGGCAATGTATAGCGAAAAGACTTTGCAAACTATACCAAAAAGATCTTCATGGTATTTAGGAAAATTTTCTTCTATTCTACACCTATTTCCAGACATCCTCCAAAGTGAAAAATACTCAAAGGAAGAAATAAGAAAAGGAAATAACCTACCATTTAAACAGCTACAGCAGAACTGATCTTTTTGAACAGTAACAATTAGTGATAGACTTTTCTACATGCCATTTAAATTGATCTAGAAGTGGACTCAGGAAGTATGGAGAACTGGTAAGTGAAAGCCACTTTTTAAAAATAGATATATAACTAGACTTATTGTGTGACAATGTTATCTGCACTAATGTAATAGACTATATTAACTAGACTTATAGTGGTGATCATTTCACAATATATAGAGTGTCCCATAAAAATGTATACACACTTTAACAACTGATAACTCAAATGAACTGTAGGTTAATAAACACTGACTTTATAATTATTCAAAGTATGTAAACATTTTTTGGGACACCCTGCAGATAAATATTGAATCATTATTGTAACAATATGATGTTATATGTCAAGTGTACTCAATAAAAAATAATAGAATAAAATAAAAACAAATAAAAAATATTTATCAAGGAAATCTGTAATTTAATTTTGTGTGAAAGAATCAGACTGGTGCCCTGGCTGGCATGTTCAGTGGTTAGAGCATTGGCCTGAGCACAGAAGGGTCTTGGACTCAATTCCCAGTCAAGGGCACATACCTTGGTTGCAGGTTTGATCCCCACCCGTCAGGGCACATGCAGGAGGCAACCAATCAATGTGTCCCTCTCACATTGATGTTTCTCTCTCCTCTCTCTCTTTCCCCTCTCTCCCTTCCCTTCCACGCTCTCTGAAAAGCAATGGAAAAAATACCCTCGGGTGAGGATTTAAAAAAAAAAGAATTAGACTGGTTATTAAAAAGTACTATTTGCTTCCGCAGGTAGGCAGCTTCTAGAGTTAAGCTGGAGATCTGGGGGCAGGGGGAAGAAGAGCTATCTGAGTACCACTTCCATAACACTGTTGTATAAACATCTTCCAGAAGTTACAACCCCCATTGCTGTCCTCAGTAACAGACCTTAATAGACCTTAGGGTCTATTACAGACACCTAAAAGAAACTAACTCTGTGTAAAGTTAAAGAACAAGACTAAATATAAAAGGAAACATTAATGGAATAACACCTGGGAAATTAAATGGACTACTTAGTAAAAAGAATTACTTCTCACCTTTGCATATTCCACTTATATCAGGATGGAGACTGAACTCAGATCTAAGAGACGTGTCTTGATCAAAGAGCAACCTTTCAAATACCAAAAAGAAGGTACAGATTATTATAATGTTTTCTAAACAAAGACTAACAATTTAACTGTCGGGGTTTTTTCCTACAGTTTACTGTCAATTTTATTTTGTATTGGTTTCAGGTGTACAGCTTAGAGGTTAGACAAACATATACTTTACAAAATGTTCCCCTTGATATTTCCAGTGTCCAACTGGCACCATACATAGTTATTACAATATTATTGACTATATTTCCTATGCTTTACTTTACATTCCTGTGTCTATTCTGTAACTACCAATTTGTACTTCTTAATCCCACCACCTTTTTTACCCAACACCTCAACCCCCCTCCCATCTGCATCTATAAGTCTGTTTCAATTTTGTTTGTTAGTTTACTTTGTTCTTTAGATTCCACATATAAATGAAATCATACAGTGTTTGTCTTTCTCTTATTTCACCAAGCATAATTCCCTCTAGTTCCATCCATGCTGTTGCAACAACAAATAATCTAGTTAAAAAATGGGCAGAGCCTGGCCAGGCATGGCTCAGCGGTTGAGCGTCAACCTAGGATCCAGGCGATCGGGGTTCGATTCCCGGTCAGGGTAACATGCCCGGGTTGCGGGCTCAATCCCCAGTCAGAGGTGTGCAGGAGGCAGCTGATCAATGACTCTCTTTCATCATTGATGTTTCTATCTCTCTCTCCCCCTCTCCTTTCCTCTCTCTGAAATCAATATATATGTATTTTTTTTTTAAAAATGGGCAGAGGATCTGAATAGACACTTCTCCAAAAAGGACATATGGATGGCCAATGGACATATGAAAAGATGCTCAATGTCACTATCTGTCAAAGAAATGCAAATTAAAAACACAATGAGATATTACCTCATACCTGTCAGAACGGCTATTATCAACAATTAACAGGTGTTGAGGATGTGGAGAAAGGGAACCCCTCATGTACTCTTGGTAGGAAAGCAGACTGGTGCAACCACTACAGAAAATAGTATGGAGTTTCCTCGAAAAATTAAAATGGAACTGCCTTATGATCCAATAATTCTACTTCTGGGGATTTATCAGAAGAAATCCAAAACATTAATTTGAAAGAATATATACACCCCTACCTATGTTCATTGCAGTGGTATTTAGAATAGCCAAGATATGAAAGCAGCCCAAGTGCCCATCAATAGATGAGTGGATAAAAAAGTTGTGGTACATATATACAATGGAGTATTATTCGGCCATAAGAAATGAAGACTTAACTGTCATTTTTATTACATCTAAACTTGTAAAAATTCTTAGTTATACCACTATTAATATGTTGGGATCTTAATTCTGAGATTAGGTTACAAAAAGACACTGGGAGGCATCCTGTCTCCCTCTCTTATTCTCTTGCCTCTGTACTCTCAGGGAAGTCAGCTCACCATGCTGTGAGACTTCCTGTGGAGAAGTCTATGTGGCAAGAAGGTAAGGGAGGCCTGCAGTCAACAGTCAGAGATGAACTAAATGCCAGAGAGGAACTAATTCTTAAAAACCATCCTGCAGAAAGCAGATCCTTTTCATGAAGCCTTGACATGATGAATGCAGCCTTGGGAGTCCTTGAGCATGATGACCTAGTTAAGAAACTCGTGGATTCCTGATCCACGGAAACTACAAGATAATAATGTTTATTGTTTTAAGATGCTAAGTTTTGAAGTAAGTTGTTATATAGCAATGGAAAACTAATAAACAGATTGTAGTCACATTTCCCCAACTGTCTCTTTTTACAGTTGTTTTATTCAAATCAGGATCCAAAAAAGGGGCACACTAAATTTAGTTGCTATGTCCCCTAAGTCTTTTTTTAAGTCTATAAATTACCCCCAATCTTTTCCACCCCTTTGCAATTTATTTGTTGAAGAAACTGGGTTGTTTTTCCTGTAGGGTTTCCCACATTTTAGATTTACTGATTGCATGTCATTAAATATGTTTCTCTGTCCTGTATATTTCCTGTAAACTGGTTATTAGATCTAGAGGTTTGATCTAACTCAACCTCAGTTTGGGGAAGCATATGTGTTCTTCCTACAGGAGATAATAAAGTGTATGTTGGGAAGGGCAGTCTCGTGCATGCTATCTTTCAACCGCCTTTCAGCCTTGAGGCAGGAACACTTTCTTTCGAAGAGATAAAGAGTCCTCTCAGGTTGCGCTGGACCTCTTACCTTGTGTGGGAATATCTTTCCCTGTTTCCGATTCAATGTGTATTCCTTTGATCTATTTAAGTGTGTGTCACAGGGCACCTGGCCAAACCCACTACTGTATCTGTCTTGTGTGGGGAGAGAATGAAGTTCTTCGTTCTGCGACACAGGAAGGGTGTGTGCAGGCCAAGGGTCCTGTGTCAGCTGCAGAGAGATGGCTGCCCAGAGAGGACCAGTGCCCACTACTAAAGCTAATCTTTTTTTTTTTATGTGAGTAAAGTGTTGTTCCAGCCAGTGCTTTACTGCACTGTGTTTTCATCAGTGACTCCAATACCAAGATACAGTGAATAGAAGTGTCTGGATTTCTACTCCTGGTGATAGGCAACAGATGCACTTGCTCAACAAGACGGCTGTAACTCATTTTGTGGTGTTAGTGACTGTTGATGATCATTGCCTAGGTCTATTCGTTATTAGGAGTATATAAAATGGTGAAATTCTACTTTATCATTTTCTTCATTTACTAATGGAAGTACTTATTTTTTAAAATATGTAAGTATTTTAAAAATACTATACAATTACTTTCCATCAAGCCTCTTAACTCAACCAGGTTACTTAGGTAGTGTGCATAGGAAAGGTAAAATAAATGCCTGCTTCTTTCTCTTTCATTAGCAGTTTTCAGAATATTGAAATAAGTTTTTAAAGACCATTACAAACTCATAGACTTAAACCCACTGCTGTTATAGTTCTTATCAATGCTCAAACTGTCTTATTTTTAGCTAGTGAGAGCCTCTTCAAAGTGGCTCATGGGTTGTTTGACATGAACCCATTTGTTATATACTGAATTGTGTCCTTAATCCATAATGTAACTACATTTGGAAACAGGGCCTTAAAGGGGGCAATTAAGGTTAAATGAAGTTATAAGGGTGGGGCCCTAATCTAATATGACTGGTATCTAATAATCTAATTAGAAGAGAGGGGACACCAAGTATGCATGCACACAGAGGAAAGACTGCAGAATTAATAAAGCTTCAGGCAGCTGGGAGACAATATCAAAAAGTCTAACGTTTATGTCATTTAAAGTTCCAGAAGAGAAGAAATTGGTACAGAAAAAAATATATGAAGAAAACTTCCCAACTTTGGTGAAAGACGTAAATTTACAGATTCAAGGAGAACAGTGAACTCTAAAGAGGAAAAACACAAAGAAAATCATGCCCAGACACATCATAATTAAACTACTAGGCCAAAGATATGGGGGGAAAAGAAAGCAGACAAAAAAGATGAAATATTACACATACAGGAATAGTGAATTAAATTGGAGGGGGGCTTGACTACAAAGGGGAAGCACAAGGGCATGTTTTTGGAGTGATGGAACTGTTCTGGATCTTGATTGTGAAGGTTGTTTTAAGATTCCATAGTCAAAATGTTCCCTGGACACCAAAAGAACAAATATTCCTGTGTATGTATACATAAAGAAGCCAGAAACCTGGGTATCATCCTCCATGTCTAATTAACTGCCATCTCCTGCCAAATTTACTTTCCAAAGGTTTCTCAAGTTGCCCTTTTCCCTCCATTCCCACTGTTTCTTCTTGGTTGGGCTCTCATCATCCCAGTCTGTTACTACTTTGACCCCAAAGCTAAGTAAGCTCTTGCAAAAGGTGAATAATCCCTTCTCTAATTGTACCAACTTTGACCCTGGAAGCTTGCTAGAAATGGAGAATACCAGACCCCACCAGAGAACTCCTGAATTGGAATCCACATTTTAACAGAATTCCACAGTGATTTATAAGGGCATTAAAATTTGAAAAGCCCTAGTCTAGGGCATGCTAGAGTCAACAAAAATCTGATTATGCTACTCCTCCATTAGCACCTCACAAGCACCTGACCTGGACACATGCAGGATATATGAGGCCTTAGAAGACCTCACCCTACCTTCCTCTCCAGGCTCAACTTTCGCCACTCCCCACCTCCACATTTAGCACTTCAGCAAGACTTAACTATACATTCCAACACATATAGCACAGTGCTATGACCCACAGCTACACCTTTACCCATACAGTTCCCTTGGCCTAGAACATTCCTGTTCATCTGGCTAATTCCTAACCAATCTTCAAGTCTCTACTCAGAAATTAACCCTAACAAACGTTGCTGACCACCTAGGTTGAGATAAAAGACCCTCTGTGCTCCTAACGCACACTGTCCACATTACATTGAAATTATCTGAGCCCTAGCCGGTTTGGCTCAGTGGTAAGAGAGTCAGCCCTCACTGAAGGGTCTCGGGTTCAATTTTGGCCAAAGGCATATATCTTGGTTGCTGACTCCATCCCGGCCTGGTCCGGAAGCGTGCGGGAGGCAACCAACTGATGTGTCTCTTTCACATTGATGTTTCTCTGTCTCTCTCTCTCTGAAAAGCAATAAAAAAATATCCTTGGATGAGGATTAAAAAAGAAGAAATTATTTGGCATGAAACAGACTGAGGAATCTCAGAGGGAAAGCAGGGAGGATGAGGGGGAGATTAACCTAAGAATTTACATGCATATATGCAAAATCCACAGACAAGAGACAACAAACAGTGTGGTGAAGGCCTGGACGGGTGGAGGTGAACAGTGGACGGGATCAATGGGGGGGGAAAATGGATATCTGTAATACTTTTTTTTTTTTTTTTAAATATATCTTTATTGATTTCAGAGAAAGGAAAGGAGAGGGAGAGAGACAGAGAGAAGCATCAATAATGACAGAGTCATTGATAGAGCCCGCAACCAGGGCATGTGCCCTGACCGGGAATCGAACCCTGATCACCTGGATCCCAGGTCAACGCTCAACCGCTGAGCCACGCCCGGCCGGGCTGTAATACTTTTAACAAAAAAGATAAATTAAAAAACAAAAAAGAATTATGTTTCTGTGTCTTTCCTGGCCTGGAGATTTCTTAAAGGCAGTGGCCTCATCTCTTCTGTCTTCTCCCTGAATCTAGCACTGAAAGTGAGGTATGTTCAGGAAGGTTTTGATGAACTACCGACTTTTTTTTTTTAATTTTTTTTTACGTGTCTATTGATTTCACAGAGTGGGAGAGAGAGAGAAACATCAATGATGAGTCATTGATCGGCTGCCTCCCGCACGCCCCCTGCTGGGGTCAAGCCCTAAACCCGGGCATGTGCCCAGACCAGGAACCGAACCCGGGATCTCCCGGATCCCAGGTCAATGCTCAACCGCTGAGCCACGCGGGCCAGGAAACTACCGATGTTTTTTGATTCTTATAAAATCATCCGCTTCCAGTTTGGTGGTACCCAGTTCCTCCATCACACATTCTTCTCCGGAAATTATGTTAACCGTCTCCTAGACCTGAGCTACGAGCTGCCTGAGACAAAATGCATTGGAGCTGTTTCGCCCTAGGACATTTTTGCCTGTGCAAAAGGCCTTAGGGCCCCAGGATGAGTTAAGGCTTTTTTTAATGCCATAAAGCCAGCTACTATAACGCTCATTTTGCCCTACGTTGGGGGGCTGTGGCCTCGTTTGCTTACGAGCTCTTAGCTCAGCCTGGCTGCCCCCCAGGGCCTCCCTACGTTCGCCCGGTAACAATTTCTACTCTCTCAGGGCGCCCCGGCGCCTGTGCCCACTTCCCCAGCGCCCGCGCTGCCGGTGGTCACCTCCTCCAGGGCAGCTCCTCTTCTTCCAGGTCGCTCTCCGTCACGGACCCCTCTATCACCGTCTCATCGCTGTCCCAGTCTGCGGCCTGCGCGCCTTTCTCCATCTTGGCCGCGAACTCGGAGTCCTTTCTACCCTCCCT